ATTACAAGTGAGTAGACAGGGATAGGACTGTACCTTAAATGTACCATAGCCATTACAAACAGAATCACAATAACTTATTTCTACAAAAGAAAAAAGAAAAATAAGACACCCAATAATATTTAAAGCAATCTTGTCTTACTAGCTAAACTGAACAGAACAAAGACACACACGCAGGCAAAGACACATATTGACAAACATTTCTAACTCCCTGAATATTTAACTGTATCTTCAGTTTCCCCAAGGAGCACGTTCATAGCAAATAAATACAAACCACAAAGAGACTCTGTTGGAAAACTATGTATCTAGCTTTGGCTTACATGACGCTACTACAGTTTCATAAACATGCCATGTCCAAATTGGTTTCATATGACCAACTAGTATAATGTGCCAAAAAGCAACAGTCTAAGTTCTATGTCATAACTCAAAGCAAGATAGCCAAGAGTGACACCTGAGATTTACTGAAATGGGTTGCACCAAGTATACAATCTAATACACATAAATGATGGAAAGCCTAAATCCTCTATTTGCCAGCTTCCAAACTGTTGGTCCTTATAAGATACCAGAATAAGTTCTTAAGAAATGTTATACAGAGAAAATGGCTGGATATATAACTGTCAGTGACAACCTCAATATATAAACTTGGCTGCAGACAGACTCCAAATGTTAAACAACTAGTATTACACCAGGGGTCAGGAAACTTTTTTACCTTTTACCCCCCAAAAAATTTATATACGCCGACATTACCCCCTTGATTCAAAAGGAAGGAAATCATACATTATTTGAATTAAAAATATTGTTGAATCTACACAGGCTGTGTACTGAGCTAGCAGGATGCACCAAATCTGATAAAGATATGCACTATTTTTGCTGGAACACATTGCACTCCAACCATGGTGTGGTATAGGGAGTAGTAAGGTGTCCAACATGCCTAGCAAGTTGCATTAAATTTTTGCTAGCTCGCAGAGGATTTAATCATCATCAGTGGCTACCAGAGTGGTGCTAGCAATGACATGCTTGCTAGAGACAGCCAGCGCAGAATTTGGGGGGGGGCTTTCCCTTCCACTTTAATCATTCTATGTGTGGTGTGCAAAAAGGAACAAACCAGGCTAAAGGCCATGTCACCCACCATGGTGCCACAGCCCAATATCAAAGGACCAGTGTGCTTTTTTTATCATCATCAATGGAGAACTCAGCAGTGGCCAGAGGACTGGAAAAGATCAGTCTACATCCCAATCCCAAAGAAGGGCAGTGTCAAAGAATGCTCCAACTACCGAACAATTGCACTCATTTCACACGCTAGCAAGGTTATGCTCAAAATCCTACAAGGTAGGCTTCAGCAGTATGTGGAACAAGAACTCCCAGAAGTACAAGCTGGATTTCGAAGGGGCAAGGGAACTAGAGACCAGATTGCTAACATTTTTTGGATTATGGAGAAAGCCAGAGAGTTCCAGAAAAACATCTACTTATGCTTCATTGACTTTGCAAAAGCCTTTGACTGTGTCGACCACAACAAATTATGGCAAGTCCTTAAAGAAATGGGAGTGCCTGACCACCGTATTCGTCTCCTCAGAAATCTATATGTGGGACAGGAATTTATTTATTTATTTATTTATTCGATTTCTACCCTGCCCCCCTAGACAACGTCTACTCGGGGCGGCTTACAAATATCATAAAATATCATAAAAACATAAAAACATCATAACATCAAACAATTAAATCAAGAGTATGGTGTATTCAAGATGGGAAATGATAGAAAACAAGAGGATATATTTCAAGAATTGACAGGAGGGAAGGCCTGCCTAAAGAGCCAAGTCTTTAAATGGCTCTTAAGGAAGAAACAGTTAGAACTGGATATGGAACAACAGATTGGTTCAAAATAGGGAAAGGAGTACAGCAAGGCTGTATATTGTATCCCTGCTTATTTAACTTATATGCACAATACATCATGCGAAAGGCTGGACTGGATGAGGCAGTGGAAGGCAGGAGGGCCATGGCCTTTATATCCACTACTCTATACTTATCTTTTTCTAATACAACTGTTAATTGTAGTAAGATGTGCAAGTCCTATTGTGAGAGAAGGGCTGAGGAGTGCCCCAGTTATCTCACCTGGCGCCACGTCCAAATCAAGGGAAGTAATGTCCTCTTGCAAGTGTCCTACCTACCATCTGCAGTCTTTTAGCATAAAAGTAGTAAATTTGGAAACTCCAAATTTGCCTATTCCTCGTAATCTCTGACTTATTATGGAATAATAGAATGACTGTTGATATACAAATGTCATACAGCAGAAAAAAGTTCAGTTTTGTTTTTGTTTTGTTTTTTAATCCCTGTGAGATACAGGTTCTTGTCACAATGACTGGTAGGCCCTAAGATATGAAGGACTGAGGGGAAAAAAGTCTGCTTACCCTGCAGCCATTCTTTAAGGGGTCATCTATGCATTCACACTCACTTCCAAACCTTCTACAGCCCTTCTCCCTACTGGTAACACTTCAGTGTAGTATTTCATAGTTCAAAACTGGCCAACACAGTGGCAAAAGCAAAATAAAACCAACAATTGAACTATGTTCCATCAAGAGACAGAAGGGCAGGCTGTGCGAATGCAGAGATGATCACCTGAAAAACAAGAGTTAAAGACAAGCAATGTGTCTCTCCTGTTCATGGTCTCTGTGTATTACACATATAAGTAATGATAATAAATAGCAAGTTCACCTCCAAATGGCAGGTGGGACGACACATCACTACAGTACATACTCTGAAAGTATGATTTCCTGTCTAGATCAACTGTTCAGATAATCATGACAGATAAAAGGCTGAGACCATGTGGCTAATCCATATAGTTCAGGTAAGGTGGTACCGTCAATGAAAACAACAGAACTAACCACAGCTTTGAGTGTATGACACATTGGCTTAAATAAATAGTATTAACATAGCCAGTGGTAAGTCAAGGAGATAATTTTAACTGTTCGTTTAGCAAAATAATGTAACAAAAAAGATGGTCTTGATTACTAAAGTTGAACAATCTGGGTGACTTTAAGAAAGGAGCGGTGCAATCCTAATAGAAAACAAGAGTACACCAAGAACTTAACAAGTGCACAGAATATTCTAATGGGGTTGTTGTTGCAGGAAAAAAGGTAGATACAATAGTCACCTGCGAAAGATGAAAACATAATACCACTTCAGGAAGAATGGTAAGGTTTGGTTGTAAAATTACTGTACTTTGTACTTGTACAAAACTTAGTATGACTGATCTGTCCTAAGACCACAGAGTTCATACACTGCAATGTTGGTATAGATGCCAGATAGGCTGCCTTTGAGGACAGCTATGTCAGTGAAACTATTACCAGTAGTTCAAAAGGAGGCCTCATGAGTTGAGAAAGTCTCACAGATAAACTCCAAGATAATACAGGAGGTGATGAATAGAGGTCTTGGAGGCTGTGAAGTTACTTCTTCATTTCCATGTAAATAATGAGAATGAATCAGGTGGTGCCAAAAAAGGCAAAGATTTATGCTAAGCTCTCAGCTGAGCTAAGTAAACCCCTACAGATGAAAGAACTAAGCATGTATCAGTCAGTGAAAGTGGGAAAGAGACTGCATGGTCTTTAGAGTACAATCTTTAGAGTTGAATTGTTGCCGACATGAAAAGGCATACAAAGCTGCCCATTTGTATTAATAGGAGCTTACTGTTCCAGCCTTCCTAACAGCACCAATTCAATGGAGCAGATTCTGGAAGATGGTGTCCTTGGACCAATCCTGCAGGTGGTTTGCTTGAGAGCTGTTTCTTCTGAATAAAGAACTGAGGTATTGTTCACAGGTGCTAGCCTCACATGCAATTGTGTGAAAAGTTATGTTCCCATCATTGAAGCCCTCGATCCCAAAAGACAACAAATGCTGACATATGCTTTTGACACACTTTGCACATCGTGGCTGATAGTCTGATAGTTTTGTCCCTTGACAATTTTACCACTGCTAGGAGCCATAGAAGATGCAGTCTAATAAATATTGGGTTTTGTGGGAACTCACTTTGATTTTTCTAGGTCGATACAAAGTCTGAATTTGTTTCATAAGTTGAAGGCAACATCCATATTTCTGATGGCCATCACTGATGTAATGAAATACTAGAATTCTGCTTCCATCACAGCTATGCATCTCATAAATAGCTTTGATGCTGTAGCTACTCTGAGAGACAACAGACAAAACTAAAACAAGCAGCTGCCCAAAATGAATTAAACATTTCCTGCATTAGAAATAGGTGCTGATATGAACATGGGTCTCTCTGAGATCCAATAAAAGGTATGCAAACCTTATGTGAACATCAATAGGATTATGGCCAGCATCTTAATAGAAGTTATTTTCTAGTGAGACCATTTTTTCCTCTCATTTTCTGCTTATGCAATGACACAAAGCAGCCTGGAAGCTGCTGCAGCAAGTGCCTCTTGTGTGCCACTCTGGTGAAATCTGGTGATCCAAGTCATATTAAAAAAAAAAACAAAACCCTTGCTACAATTCCTCCCTAGGTCACTACAGCCCCCGTTGACGAGAGGGACAATCCAAATGCGAGAAAGAGTTATATTGAGGTCTCTTTCCATGTAGCCATTAGCCAAGTGTTACTAGAGCAGTGTGGGGAGAACATATACTATACCTCCTGCCACACCACAGTAAAGCTGTAAGTTGCCCTCAGAACTGGCTTTTCTCTAACTTTGCTGCATCAATATTAATCTACAGGAATGTTTTGGAGAAGTAGATACAAATCAATGAAGGAAAGTCAAGAGAGGCTTTCATGTCATTAAGAATAGCTGGTCATTTTTTTACCCATTATAAATCTTAGTATCACTTCTTCCAAGTATTTTTTTCCAGGATACAGTTGAAGTTATTCAACTCCATCACTTGCTGTTACAATTATTTCTGGAGCAACCCTTGCAACATATCCAACAGGCATCTGCTGATCTAGAGAGCTGACTAAAGCTTTTATAATTCTATCTGTATATTTGACAAACAGTTCTTACCTGGTTCGGCACTTTTTCTTGTCCATTTTTCTCCTCACTCAGCAACTGAGGAACCACTGTGGGTGGAGGAGGTGCTCTCCGCTTTTTTGTTTCCATGCTTCCAGTCATTCCTGAGATGTTCCCAAGGGACAGCGATGGGCCCAATGTAATAGAACATGAATTCACTGATGTAGAATGGGGGGCTCTTGTAACTCCCTGTAAGTAGATGCACAACCTTGTCAAAAACAGTTAAAATGACATTTCAAAGCTAGTCCTCCTGAAATAAAGCATTTTTCTGTGTTTTTAGGTACATACTGTATATAGACTCTGTGTCTGTGCATACCTGCTTGTGTGTACATACAGATGTATTTGTTGTTACATGCTGTTGTTACATAGAGTGATGGACTAGGACTCTGATGAACAGTGTTTGAATCCCTGCTCAGCTATGGAAATTCATTTTTGGAGTGGAACTGGTAAAACTACTCTTTAAATATCTCACCTTGAAAGCCCTGTTAGCATTGTTATAAGTCAGTTCCGACCTGACAGCATGAAATAAAGCACACACTCTACAATTGTCTCTCAAATTTCTGAACTGTTTTGAATGTACTACCATCAGCTGCAAATGCAATTTAACAAAATCAGCTTTTTTTAAGATGGGCGAAACCAGGAGGCATTTGGATCCAAATGGTTTCCTGACGGCTCTTGGGGAGTTTCCTGTTGCCTTTGCAGGCAATTCTGTTGAAGCCCAGCTTGATCACTGGAATGGGGAAATGGCCAGGGCTGTTGACACAGTCACTGCTAAGCATGAAATAGAGTCAAACAGGGCCGCTGCTTTACTGGGGAGCTGGCAGTGATGAAATAAGTGGGACAGAGTCTAGAGGAACAATGGTGGATAACCAGGAGTGAATGAAACCAAACACAGACTAGAGCACATTGGGAAGCTTATTCTGTGGAAACAGTGAAGAAGTAATTCTTCTCTGCCACCCTTGCATTTGCAGAGAGCTTTTGCAAGTCGTCAAGGGCCTATTACATGCCAGCCCCCAGGAAGATAATGCAGACCACCCTGTAGCTCACTGTGAAGAATCTGCACGACATTTTGCAAGCAAAATTGCTCAGATCCACTCTGATATGGATGCTGAAGTTAATATAGGTCCTATAGATGTAACTGTGGTCCCTCTTCGTCCTGTGTTGATGGATACGTTTCAGTTTTTGCAGCTTGATGATGTAGATAGGACCGCTGAAGAAGCGAAGGCTCTTGTCTACTGGACTCTTGCCCTTCCTGGCTTATAAAAGTTGCCACAGAGGAATGGTGAATGCCTCATTGCAGCAGGGAGGATCCCAGCATGCTTAAAGGAGGTAGTAGGAAGATCCTTTATTTTAAAAAAAAAACTTATTGGATCCCAGAGTACTGGATCATTATCAACCAATCTCTAATATCCCATTATTAGGCAAGGTACTGCAGTGTGTTGTGGCTTCCCAGTTCCAGGAGTTCCTGAATGAGACGGATTATCCAGATCCATTTCAGTCTCGTTTCAGGCCTGGTTATGGACAGAGACTGCTTTGGCCACCTATGCCAAAAACTGGACAGCGGGGTGTGTGTCCCTGTTAATTCTGCTGGAGCTCTCAGTGGCTTTTGATAACATAAACTATGGTATACGTCTGGGCCATCTCTCTGGGACAGGACTTGGTGGGACTTTTTTATAGTCGTTCTGTTCCTTCCTAGAAGGGGGAATCCAGAAGGTGGTACTGGGGAACTCCTTTCAACATCTTGGCCATTGACCTGTGGCATCCCTCAGGGTTCTGTTTTGTCCTCCATGCTATATAACATCTACATGTAACCGATGGGAGAGTTTTTCGGAGTTTGGGGGTTCAGTGTCACCAGTATGTGGATGACACCCAACTCTCTCTCCTTTCCATCTATATCTGAGGAAGCTGTTTCAGTTCTAGATCAGTGTCTGCTATCAGCAATAGACTGGATGAGGTTAAACAAACTGAAATGTAATCTAGACAAGACAGAGGAGCTCCTGGTCTGTTGAATGGCAGATCAAGGAATAGGGGTTCAGCCTGTGCTGGATGGGGTTACACTCCCTCTGAAAACACAGGTGTGCAGCTTGGGGGTGCTCTTAGTTTCATCTCAGAGTCTAGATGTCCAGGTTTTGGCAGTGGTTAGAAATGCCTTTGCACAGTTAAAATGGGTGTGCAAGCTGCGAACATTTCTTGAGAGGTCTGATCTGGCATGGTGACACATGCCTTTGTTATATCTCAGCTGGAGTACTGTAACGTGCTCTACATGAGGCTGCCTTTGCAAAGTGTTTGGAAGCTCCAGCAGGTTCAAAATGATGCAGCCAGATTGCTAAGTAGGGCTGGTTACAGGGAATATGTCACTCCTCTGTTACAGCAGTTCCACTGGCTGCTGATCCATTTCTGGGCACAATTCAAAGTGCTGGTTTTAACCCATAAACCTCTAAACAGCTTGGGTCCAAGCTATCTAAAAGAGCACATCTCCCTCTATGAGCCTGCTTGGGCATTAAGATCATAACCAGGAAAGGCCTTTTTCAATCCCATCACACTCACAAGTGCACTTGGTGGGGACGCAGGGGAAGGCCTTCTCTGTTGCTGCTCTCAGACTCTAGCACTTCCTCCCACGGGAGACCATACTGGTCCCATCTTTGCCGTCTTTCTGCAAGCAGGCAGATACCTTTTTCTTCAAGCAGGCTTCTTCTTAGTGACTGGCTGTCTGAGAGAGGGTTTTGTGCTCTAATGATTTTAGATGTGTTTTTGGTATTTATTTTAATTACCATTTGCAATATAATACTTTAATTTCAGACTCTAGCACTCCCTCCCACGGGAGACCATACTGGTCCCATCTTTGCCGTCTTTCTGCAAGCAGGCAGATACCTTTTTCTTCAAGCAGGCTTCTTCTTAGTGACTGGCTGTCTGAGAGAGGGTTTTGTGCTCTAATGATTTTAGATGTGTTTTTGGTATTTATTTTAATTACCATTTGCAATATAATACTTTAATTCTTTTACAATATCTGTACACTTGCTATTTTAACTTTTAAGTGTCATCTTTTTGATGATGTCCGCTTTCTTGGGTCCTTTTAAGGAGGGGTAAAATATTTTAAATAAATAAATACCTTGCAGACATTGGCCTAACTAGCCGTTTCCAGATTGAAAGCAGTGAGAATTGAAAATGACTCCCAAGCATGCAGAGCTTCATTACCCATACTACCCTCAAACATCTTGTGGTGAATTACCATGGATTTGGCTTGCACCTTCTCCTCTCCTTCCCTTCTGGGTATTCTTTAATTTGTATATACATATGATGCAGTAAAGTTGCAACAACTTGTTTTCTAACTCCCTTTGCATCTGGCTCATCCCTTTCGATGCAAAAACATGTTAATCTTTATTTCCTGTTGCAACCAATCTTCCTTCAATATCCCTGTATCAAAATCTACTTCTTTGTCTTGTTATATGTAGGATATTCCCAATTGCATACAAAACATTTTCTTATTATGGTTTGGCAGCATTTTGGTCCAACTCTGAAAAAGCACTTAACCATTCAAGCAGATTTTTAGCGGGAAATATAATTATTGGCAGAACATTCATGTGTTTGGCCTACTTCTCTCACTCGTTTAAAATAATTTTTTAGTCACATTGAGTAGGAATCAGTGAAAGCTGCAGGGGCTATGAAACTGAAAAATGTGACACAAACACTATCAACATTCACGAGTCATTTCACAATTTATGGCAAAACACTATTAGTGGATGTAAAGTAACTTGTTCAGTACATTTGTATGAAAATATACAAAAAGGGTTTAAATTGAGCTGCCAGAAAACTTACATTTAATTCTTTGTAAAACATGTTTAAGGAAAGCTTAACAATAATTACAATTATAATTCCATTTAAAACCCACTTATCGAGTCCTGCAATTGTAACAACCAGAGTTCTTAAATTTCAGTTAGCAGTGTTTCTAATTTAAGGCCCTTACACTTTAATAGAGGCTTTTCTTAGATTTATATGTCTCTTACTCTTTTGCCAAGCAAGTTCTACTTATCTCCATTGCCAGCTGCTCAAATGTATATATTTAAAAGATTCTCCATTTCCACTGAAATAGTTTCTGCTCTATATCTCTTCTCTACATATGACAGACTGAAGACCAACCCCGCCCCCCCAAAAAAACCCTTTGCAGGTGGAAACTCATAACTAGTAGCATTGAATCTGTTTTAACATCAACAGGTTAAACATATTGCTATTAGTTTTTTTTAATGCAAAGTCTCGTTATGTCAAAGCAAATTTTCATTTGTAGATCTGTGCATCACAGATTAATCATCCTCTAATAAATTTGGATTTTAATTACACCCATCCTTAGGAAGTTCAAAGGCAACTCTTGAATCTCATGCTAACTCTGCAATATTTATATATTCGTTACACATCAAGCAATCACAATCATTACTTTCTTGTGTTCGGATCTGCAGAGCTATGTGAGGCATGCCTAAGGGCCTGGGTGTGCCCAATGGGATACTTAATGTTTTGTTTCCTTTGAACAGTGGGCTCCCTACCACAACAGAAATTAATCTTGGAACTTATATCTGTTGTGGGTTGCCACACAGCACAGGAGTGGGAGCGCAGATTGCTGTTTAACATATACAGGCATAAAATCTTTTTCATGAAAGGCTTCCAGACAAGGTTTTTATCCTGCAAATGTTCTGCGTCATTCATGGAGTTTTACAAAGGATTCAAATATTGTTTCCTACTTGTATTGCCCCTAATGTTTTTCTTGTGCTTCTTTCACCCATCTTTCTTTTTAATTCCACAAAATGATGTATTGTGGAGGAAAAGATGTAACAAAGGAACAGTGGCATTTACTTAAAAGAACCATTCAGCAGGAAGTATATTTAGTCGGTGGCTAAAACCTTATAGTGAAAAACTGCACAGCAATCATGCAAGTAGCCAGGATCTATCACACATGCGGGGGTATAAACATGGTGCATGGCATACAATTGGAAAAACTGTGGATGCCAGTAGATACAATTTCCAGTTTATCCTATGCAACTGCACTAAGTTTCTCATCAATGAATTACATGGTTCTTTGAATTCCAAACAGAATTTTAGGTGTTGGGTGATTGCAAACCCATCCTTTCCCATTTTTAGAAATGTCCCTAAACAAAGAATAGAATACAAAGCATATAAAAATATCACCAAACAATATCCCT